TTTTGGGTTAGAGAAAGGACCTGACATAAATTATGATATAAAAGATTGTACTTACTGCTATGAGGAGAATATAGTGCACAGGATAAAGGCAAAAGCACAAAGTTAACTGTAGTTATCTGACTGAGAGATGATAATGCCTTAAAGGATATAAGCAATGGAGAACAGAGAAAAGTGCTCCAATTTTGGATATGAAGGAACAACTGACAGGATTTATTGATGGTTTGGACATAAGGAAAGAAGGATAAGTGTAAGATTTCTGGCTTGAGGACTTAGAATATTGGAAAAAAAAACCAATTACTTTTAAAGGAGAAACTGAAGTACTAGGTTTAGGTGATCAAACCAATGGTTCAGTTTTGTATATGTTAAATAAGAAACATCTCTTCAATATCTGTATCAGAAATCTATTACTATGTAATAAACTACTACGAAAGTTAGTGGCTTAATTGGTTATGAATCTCTGTCATCAATTTAGGCTAAGCTCAGCTGAGTAGTTCTGCTGGCCCCACCTGGAGTCATTCACGAGCTGCAGTAGGCTGGTGGATTCATCGGGGGCTAGTTGATCTAGGGGCCCTCAGATTGGATGGATCGTTCTCCTCCACATGGTCTTGCTCTCCGATATGCTAGCATAGGCTTTTTTTATGTGGAAATTTCACGGCAGCAAGAGAAAGAGTGGAAGCTGCGAGGTCTTCTGAGTTTTCAATTTGCAACTTCCGTAGTGTTTCTTCCACTGAATGCAACTGGCCAAATAAAATCACAAGTTCAACCCAGATTCAATGGGGGTAAAGAAGACCCAGCCTCTTAACGGGACTATTAGTGTTACATTGCAAAGGGGTGTGCAAAGCCAAGGAAGAATTGGTGGCTCGCTGCTTCCTTCCTTCCTTTCTTCTTTCCTCTCACCCTTCCTCCCTCATTCCCCCTCTCTCTCTGTCTCTTTTTCTATCTCTCTCTTTTTTTTTTTTAAATAATCTAGCACACCATCAAAGTGAAGTTACTGAGAACATATTCAGTTATATGCACATATCAGTTACGTGCATTTGAAGTTCAGGAGAAAAGACAGGGCTGCAGGTAAATATAAATTGATGAACAAGAGAATCTTTCCAAAGATTGAGCCCTGATGTTGTCCAAGAATTTAAATACCAATGAAATAAGGAGAAAACAGAAAGGTGCATTAGATGGATCTATTTGTGAGATAGGAGGAAATCAAGAAGAACTTGTGTCTAAGAAATTAAATTTGGCATTGAAATATGCTAAAAATGACTGCATTTGTTGTTTATATAGTAGATAATGACTTTTCTGACGATTAAATATCTTTGAAGTTATCTGACTAGTTTATATTGGTGACTGTTTTCTCTCTAGCCCTAGGCTAAGAGAGGGCCATTAGTTTATGTGAATACCAAAATTCTTCCTGTATTAAGCTCATTAAAAGATCTGAACTTCCATTAATATACAAGGAAACTAGGCCAGAAATTGTCTGCAATACTAATGGGTGCTATGAATTTAAATTTTCATTGAAGTAATAAGGCCAGGTGTTTTAAACACTGGCAAAACTCAGTGATGAGGGCAACTGAAAGACATTCACTTATGACCATGTTGAAATGCATAATATTTATTAAACATCTTCATATACATAAAGTCTTTCTAGGTTCTCACAATTATGCAAAATCAAATAAAGCACTTGATCTTGTTTTTCAGATGGGTTGCCATTTAAATAAAACAACATAGCTGAGATCATAAATTTTATAAAATGCTAATGGGAAGGGAAAAGTGATCCTTTTCACACAGAGACATGTATATGCAAAGCATGGGAAGATATACCTGGCAATAGAGTATAGGAGAGAAGACACAGGAAAGAAAAAATTAAGCATCAGGGGACCAGAGCAAAATTTCTACCAATTAGTAGTGTCTATAAATAAATCTCTTATTCTAGTAAAAACCCTAGCCGCTGTTTATGGTTTTTATAATGTGCTCAGCACTGTCCTAAGTACATCCATATCAACTTAATTAGTCCTTATAGCACCCAATAAGATAGGAGACATTTCTTTTTGTGCCTACACCACATCCAGTTGATTCATGTTTCTAGTGCATCTGCCAGTACTGCCCCACAAATGCATGCCATAGTGACTCTGCTTCCTACCTTTCAGATTGTTCCTAAAGTCTTAGCGGGCCACTCAGCCTGCGTACAGATGTAGTTCGGGAGCAGTCTTCAACCAATGGGGAACGGACAGGAGTCAATGGATAAACACCTCAGCTTTCCTCCCTTTGGAGGGATTGTTTTGAGATGTATTCTGTGTGATTCCTTGGGCGATCCCCAGGGTGACTGAGGTGTAGTTGTCCACCACAGAAACTGGCTCAGGGATGAACCTTTCATTGCCTTCTTCCCTTCCTGTTTCGTTACCCTATCTTCTTCACTCTGCTTTCCACAATTACTTCCGATCTTCCACGTTAAGTAATACTGACTCTCTTGGAAGTAAGGTTTTCATTATTTAATTGTTATAAATAAAATATTTATCGTGTCAACTATGAAATTCTAAATTATAATTTCTTATGCATAAAAGAAAACAAGGCATTCTTTTTTTTTTTTGGATAAAATTTAAGACCTAGAACACTGAATAGTCTGGAGAAGAAAAGCTGTCTTATTACCCTACAAGTCTCAAAATAAATTAGCCACAAAATGCCCTCATATTTTAATCTATGCATGGTTTTATTTCAGTAGACAAAGAATTGGAAAACCCTATTTTTTAGGATTTTTAAAGGGTTTTTTGATTCTTGGTTAAGGTCCTTCCTCTCAGATTTATGATAAATTAGATGACAATCATAACCTGCGTTTGTATACTGTTTTACTGTTTAGAGCACTTACATCTATGCTGTTCCATTTAACTATTGGTATAAGCTTATGAGGTACGTAGAATCATTTTACAGGTTAGGAAACTTAATAGCACTGATAGCATCTTTACTATGCTGATGTACTGGCACGTGGCCGAACCAGGTAATGAATTCATATCTTCTGATAATCCAAGATAGGCTTTGTCTCCTGCAGCATAGCCATTGGTGAAGTCTTTGACTACTGCCAGTGCTGAAGAAAGCACTAAATGAACTCTCTGGGTGAGCTGTATGGAAAGGAAATGGTTTAAGTATATACACAGCTGCTCCCTATGAATTGATGTCTTTTATTTTCAGTATTTCCAAAGCACATGTAGATGCATGCAGAAGTTCGGTTCTAATAAAACTTATAGAAAAGAATCATAGTGTTGGAATACCAAGTAGTTGAGTTAAAGACCTTGACAGGAATAGGCAGTTATTTAACTCTTCCTTGGTGGTTCCCACCACTTACATGTCTTCAATCTCTTGACCCTCGGTTTTTATATCTTTAAAGTGGTATTGATAATGCTGTATCAAATAAGAATATAAATGAACTTAACCTTTAAACCATAAAATAAGGTCAAATCATAAATTGCCGTGTGGTCACCCTTTGCTAATTTCAAGCCATTGGGTCTCAGCACACTTGAAAAGGAGAAGACAAGAATCTGTGTACACGTGCTTCGCATTTGCCCTTTCTTAAAGCCAAGGGAACCATTTTTTTACTTAGTCTTTTCGACCTGAGAAGTTTGCCAATGGTAAGATTTTCTGTGTTCCTCATCTCTTCCCCCTACCTGGGGAGCAATAAATCCTTTACATTTGCATCAGATTTTCACATGGTCCTAACAAGTCCACAATACCTAACTCTTCTTTCTGATTTACAAGCTCTGTTTTGATCTGTTGACACCACATCCCCTTCCTCTCTACAACTGTTAATACTTTTACTATTTTACTGTGTTAAAAGAAAGACATAACATAAAATTTACCATCTTAACCATTTCTAAGTTTACAGTTCAGTAGTATTAAGTATATTCACATTGTTGTGCAACCATTATCACCATCCATTCCCATAACTATCTTCTTTCTTTAAAACCAACACTATACACCTATTAAATAAAAACTGGCCATGCTCTGCTCCCAGCAGCCCCTGGCCGCCACCATTCTACTTTCTGTTTCTTTGAATTTGACTACTCTTAAGTACCTCAACCATTATCACCATTCATTTCCGTAGCTCTTCTTTTTTTAAAACTATCACTCTATACCTGTTAAAGTACAGCATAGAGAAAGTAGTCAGTAATACTGTAATAACAATGTATGGTGTCAGATGGGTACTAGACATATTAGGGTGATCACTTCGTAAGGTATATAAATCCATAATCTCTATATTGTATACCTGAAACTAATATAATATTTTATGTCAACTGTAATTGAAAAAAAAATAACTTCTCATTTTTTTTCTCCCAACAGTCCCTGGCAACCACCATTCTACACTGTTTATGAATTTGACTACTCTAAGTACCTTATATAAGTGGAAGCATACAATATTTGTCTTTTTGTGACTGAATTATTTCACTTAGCATAATGTCCTCAAGATTTGTATCCATATTGTAACATGTAACAGAATTTCCTCCCTTTTTTAAGGCTGAATAACATTACATTCTATGTACGTAGTACATTTTGTATATCCATTCATTCATAGATGGACACTCAGGCTGTTTCACCCTATTGGCTCTTGTGAATAGTGCTGCTCTGAACATGGGTGAGCAAATATGTCTTTGATATCCTGCTTTGAATTCTTTTGGATATAGAAGTAGGATTATTGGATCATATGGTGGTTCTATTTTTAATTTTTTGAGAAAACTCCATACTGTTTTCCACAGTGGTTGCACCATTTTTTATTCCCACCAATAATAAACAAGAGTTGTAATTTCTTCCCATCCTCACCAACACTTGTTATTTACTGGCTTTCAACATACTTTTTTTTTTATAGTAGCTAGCCTAATAAGTGTGGGTTGATATTTCGTTGTAGTTTTTATTTGCATTTCCCTAATGATTAGTAAAAATTGAGCATCTCTTCATATGCTTTTTGGCCATTTCCATATCATCTTTGGAGAAATTTTTGCTCGAGTCCTTTGCCCATTTAAAAAAATATGGAATACATCATGCATTTGTATGTCATCCTTACACAGGAGCCATGTTAATTGTCTCTGTATCTTTACAATTTTAGTATATATGTGTTGCCAAAGGGAGCACATATAGTTGTTGATTCTTAATGAAAATTTTATCAGTGTTTCATTAACACACACTCCTCTTCTCAACAAACCATCCCCCACTGTGCACCTACACCCAATGTTTTTCTCCTTTAGAGGAATTTGCATTTATTCTTAAAACTTATTTCCGCTCCTGTTCAAGTAATCAGCTCTTTATATTTCTTGATCACTGGCAGTCTTTGAGTCTTTTGGGTTTTGTTTTATTTTGTTTTATTTTGTACTTGTTCATGTCCCTAGGATTGGGGGAGAAGGAAATGTTAAGGTCTGGCTTAACAATGCCACCTTAAACAACCTGACCAAGGTGGAGATAAGTAAGGAGCAATATTTCAACCTCACATGTAAAAGGGACATAAATCTTGCTTTTTTTTTTTTTTTAATCAGAAGTTCTTAATTTTCTCACCATTGATATAAAAATCATTTATGCTTGCACTGCAACCAACATAAATCATTAACACAAAAGAATAGTAAACAACCTTTAATCAATATCACTTTCTTCTGTGAGGCACTGTGGAAATGAAAGAATACAATTTGTCTTTGATCATAAGTCTCACATTTAGTCAGGGCCTTGTATCTTCCCAGCTCTTACTTTGCTACAACCACATGGCCTTCTTTATGTTTTTAGGACCAACCAAGGTCATTTTCTCCCAAAAAACTTTGTACATGTTGTTCTTTTTATCATTTTTTTATTTTCATTGCAATGTTAGCTTAATACCCTCTTTGGTGAGGCCTTGCTGACCCCCAACCCAATGGTGCTGCCTCCTAAGAGTCACTCTCTGTTATTGCACCCACTTTATTTCTTCTTAGCACAATAACGTTCTGAAATTTTATTATTATTGACTTGTGTGCTTGTTTATTGTCAGCCACTACCATCCACTATTCAAATATATGGCCTGTGACTACTGAAGCCTATTCTTTGGTTGACCTCCATATACTTAGTGCTGAAACAGTGCCTGATTAATAGCATATATCTAATAAATATATGTTGAATGAATACACAATGACAATGTCGATCAAGGGTCAGCAAATTTTTTTTCTATAAAAGGCCAGATAGTAAATATTTTAGGCTTTGCAGGCAATAAGGTCTCTGTTGCAGCTGCTGAACTCTGCCATTACAGTGCAAAAGCGGTCAAAGACAATACAAAAACAAATAAGCATGGTTGTATTACAATAATATTTTATTTACAGAAACAAAATTTGGGCTGAATTTGGCCTGTGGGCCATAGCGTGCTTACTGCCGGAGTAGATAATTTGGTATTAATTCTGGTGTCAGGGCACACTTGGGTGTCTAGAAGGCCTTTGGAAATATGGATGAAGCTCAGAAATGAATTTTGGTAGCAGTCAGCGAATGGATGGTCATTGGATTCATGGGAAAAGATGAAATAGCTCCAAGGGAATGTGTGGAACAGAAGAGAAGACAGTCTCAGGAATTCTGAACTCTCCCAGGCTAACTGCATTTTCTTCTTTAACAGAGGTGTTAGACTGATAGTTATATAGGTATACTTGATTAAGCATGGCATTTGCCAGTATCTTTCCTGACATTATATTGGATCAAATGAGCCACTCACTTTGACAGGTATGGTGTTAATACCTGCTTTTATGCATGTAGATAAAGATGTTAATACAAGAGCAGAATAATATGAAGGAGGATGACTAATGGTGTATTAGCAGTCTCTTCCCTGAGCTATATCCCCATTGAGAGATATGTCATGATAGATGAATTGATGCTTTTGACATAAACTGGAAGAAACATGTTGAATGAGAGAATATTCATGATAAAATGAAATGAAAGGTTAAATCTTATCTTGCTGGAATAATTTTAAAAAATCTAGCTCTTTATTTAAAAAAAAAGTTAAAAGGAAGATAAAAAAAGGAATAAGAGAGAAATGAGGAACATATAGAACTGACAGGTATCAATACTAAAATGGGAGACATAAATTCAAAGGTTTATATAATCTCATTAAATGTAAATGGACCAATCCTTCCAGTTAAAAGGCAGAGAACTTTAGAATGGATTAAAAAGAATAGTCAAGACTGAACCCTCTGCTGTCTATATGATAAGATGAAAACAAAAGGATAAAGATGAGGCATGCACACTATAATAATAAGAAAACATATTAGGCAAAGTAGGGTTTGGGACAAGGATTATTATCCAAAATAATAATAATAAATAATAAAGTGGGACATTCTATTGTGATAAAAACAGCAGTTCATTAGGAAGATATACTAATATTAAACATAAACATACCTAATAAGATAGCCTTAATATACAAACAGCAAAAAACTATCGGTTCGAAGGGAGAAATAGAAAAATCTACAATTAAACTTACTGATTTTCAGTTATTAGTAGGACAACCAGACAAACAACTTAGTAAGTATATATTAGACTTAAACAACATAATCAACTTAAACTAGTTTACATTTAAAGAATCTGCTCCTCAAGGATCAAAAGCCACAAGGTTTTGGAGGAAAGGCAGGAAAATTTCAAGAGCTTCTTCCACATTTATTATTTTTAGAAATGTGTATCAGAAATGGCGGTTGGGATATATGTCCTCTTTGGCACTCATGCACCTTTTATATCCCACTTCCTACTGAGGGCTATTTTAATATTGCCAAAAATAATAGCATTTTTAGATGAGGCTAGTGTTCAGTGGCATCTTAATTTATTTAAAACTTTATTAGTTTTATGATTTCTTTACTTCTAGTCATTTTTATGTATGGGTAACCACACAAAGAGTTCCTTTTGAAACCGTTCTCAGATAGTCTTTATTTCCTTGCTTCCTAGTTCTGTCATATATCTCAATAGCAGCTACCTTGAGTAGATGAGGCGTGAATAGGAAACAGTCCAAATCTAATCTCTTCATTGAACTAATAATTCTTATTATGTTTTTGTCCAAAAAAAAAAAATTTCAATTTCATCTCTTGATAGCTAGGATCTAGAATTTGTCCTTTTTTCCAGTCTCACAGGCCATTAAATACGCAGTCTCTCTTTAGCCTTGCATTTCTGCTTGTACACGGTCTCATTTCTTTATGAGTTGCTAAACAGATTCAATGACAACCAACACATATAAAAATGATCTTTTTCAACCTCTTTTCCCCAACTCAGTAATCATTTGATTAGTCTTACAAATTTTTGCAGGCAAGAGGTTTATCACATACATTGCATTTGAATGACATAGATCAAGAGCTATTCAGATTGTTTTATGTGTTGTCTTGACATCCTCCATCCAGTCACTGGGCCAATGCTGCATATTGAAAAATATTTTTGCAATGGTGTTCCAGTTCTGGTATTAATTTCTCTATTACTAATGATAAGTCATGCTGGCTGCTGAAACAAACAATACAGAATCTCAACGGCTTTAAATAATTAAAGTTATTTTGTGTACATGCACATGTATGCACGTGCAGGCCCACACCCTTTCCAGAAAAAGAGGAAGTAGACAGAAGAGAGAGAAGGGGAACAGATAGCTCTGAGTTGTGCTGGTTATCTCTAGGAAGATGGATTTCAGAGGGCTGAAAAAAGCTAAAAACTGGATCCAGCTGTTACTTGAACTCTAGCTACTGCTGCCAGGTTGAAGAGTTATTACTGATGTGCTGCTTACAAGAACCATAAGCCAACCAAGAAGGAGCTAATCTCTGCTGCTTCTGCCTAGTGCCCTTACTGGCACAAGTAGCAGGAAGCTAGCTTAAAATGGAAATGTTAATTGTAGATTCCAGCATTAGATAAACTCTAGAGGATGGTTGGATTTTGCGTTGAGCACCCATAGCTTAATAAGTGTTCTGACCTATTGTACAGGTATCCTTGTATCTCACCCTAGTGCTGGTAACTGAGAACTAGTAATAGCAACTCACATTATTATATAGAGCATTGTAATTCAAAAATTAATGATTTTTCAAATGAAATTCCATGATTCCAGACTGTGGTTGCACTAGAAGATCCTTGCATTGCTTTTGCCAGTATATACAATACCCAGCCTTGTCTGCAGCCACTAGGGATGATTTCATAATGGGGGCCCTGATTCTTCCAGTTTATTTCCCCAGTGACAAATGTTGGTTTGGAAAGCTGAACACATGTAGTTAATCATCTCATTCAAGGTAGCATCATGAAATCTGCACATCTCAGGAGCTGGCTTAGTCCATGTGTCCAATTTCTGGTTTACCCCTGAACAATGATGTTGCTGAGGGAAGTCCACATTCAAGATAATTGTATTTTTCAAACTATTGGCAAAGTTGATAAAGTCTGCTTGACAAATGTTCCATTTATTTATTGCTTTTAAACACACAAATTTCAAATGACTATTTTATTAGGTTACATAATTTTATTGGTTAGGAATTTGGGCAGGGCTCTCAGATGAGCACTTCTCTGTTCCATGTGGTATCAACCTGAGTTACTTAGGGCTATTTAACTGGCAGTTGGGTTTGTCTGGAGGGTGCAAGATAACTTCATTCACATGGTGGTGATCTTCAAGGCTGATCTCAGGTAGAACCTTTCCCTGTCAATGGAGTCATAGACATTCTTCCTATTACCTCTCCAACAGGATAATGAGACATTTTACATGGTAGCTCAAGTCTCTGAGATACCAAACCAGAAGCCATAAGTCTTCTGAAAGGCTAGACTCAGAAATGGCATAGTCACTTCTCCCATAAACAATGCAAATGAAATATATTCTCCATGTTGCCTGTGTCTTTCATAGGAGATAATTTTGTAAAGAAGACATCTTGCCACATACCTAAGCATGCAGGCAGAATTAATCAGATTAGCATATGCTGATGAACGGACTAATGAGGCTTTCTTAAGCAAGTGAGCATTTTCAGAAACAGAAACTAAATACAAACTGGGCTTGAGTGTCTGCTTTTCTGGAGATTTCATTTCAGATATAGGAAAAATAAGAAACATTGCCGTGTGCTTAGACAATTCTCTAACAGTGGTCTAAAATTATATCTTAATTTACAGATTTAGAAGTTGAGCACAGCCATACGTTAAAC